CCCGTGCTATTGCTGTCCACCTATTAAACGACAGTCTGTGCAACTTAGTTATGGATTTGGTATCAGTCCGTAGGTCATGAACCCCCATTCCTGGACAGAATTCAAGGTTGAAAGTTCCTGTTCTAGGCTCATTTTGGGGATTAGCCTCAGGAGCTACCTCCAAGGAGAATGCCCATATCATGGACGGTCTATGTGCCATGAACACTCTCTCCTGCAACTAGCAGGAGTATTTTCTTCTCAGAAGGCAGCATAAACTGAGAGATAAGAATGCAGCGATGGGGCTCTGCCATGTCTCTATGATCTCAGAGCAATCAGTTACTCCACTTCTCGGAGCCACAGGTTTCTCAGATGGAAAATTGATGATAATAATAGAACGTAATTCATAGGGTTGTTTGGGATATTAAATGAAATGATGTATATAAAGTGCTGATCACATTTCCTGGCATGCTCTTTCTTAATTAGTTACTGTTGTTAATACAGGCTAGAGTCAGATACACACTGAGCCCTGTGAAGAAAACATACTGTTTTCCCCACTCCTGCTACTCCCTAGAACCCCTTTAACAGGACTTAATTCACCCGGTTGTCCTCACAAAAGTCATGATTAAAGGTAGAACACCTTGTTGGGTGAGTAACAAAGCTCATGCTGAGTAAAAAGAGGCTGCCCTGAAGCATCGTCCGGCTCTCTGTTTCTTCACCTGAAGGCAGGATTGCCTCAGAACAATGATTTAGAATTTGAATGCCTGACTCCTCTGGCTTTCGGTGTCCTCATATGAAAAATAGAAATAGTATTGATTGCCTCATGGTGGCTGTGAACAGTCAACGAGATGATGAATGTCTGGCACAGGAACACAGTGCTTGGGGAAGACTAACAGTTCTTCTTCCTGGCTGCTCTTTTCTGGGCCATTTTCCAAAGGGTGCTAAGTATTACACCTCTCCCTCCTCCCTCCTCTCACTTGTCAGAAACCTCTGGGCTTGTAGAAAAGGATTTCAAGGTGTTGAATTCCTTCTATGGAAATTCAAGTACAGCTGAGGCACTGCCCTAATCCACCCTCGAGGAGATCAGATTTATGGAGCTCCCTGGTATCATGATCCCACAGGCTTTGGGAAGCCCATGAAGAAACAAAATGATGGTACAATGTGGATTGGAAACAGCTCTGGATTTGAGGGGCAGGAAACCTAAGTATCAGATTCATTGCTACTTCTCTTTTGCACTCTCTCCTTGGAAATGGCATTGAGCCTCAGTTTCTCTGTCTTTAAAACTGGAGACAATTGTTATATCTGCCTTACTTGCATTACAAGCTTATTGTGAAGTTTAAAGAGAACAACAGGATATGATAGAATCTCTGCAGATGTCCTTTAGTGCTCTTAGTCCTGGGCAGGAATCTAGTCCACTTACACAAAACTAAGACAGCATTAGCAGGAGTCCTCAGAGAGAAGCCAGGAGCAGAATCTGAGCTCCGCGCACTGGAAACCACTTCCATTCTCCTGAAAGGGAGTAAACTTACTTTATTTTTGTAATATTCTCCCATTTCTTGCTCCTGGGAATGGCATTATCCCAGCCAGCCCTGTAAAAGCAAGTCTAGACTCACCCTCTAGCTCACTGTCCACACCCAGTCATCAAATCTAATGGAGTAAAGACAGATAATAAGTAGAGTATGCGCAATGTACCCAGGATAGTTCTAAGTGCTTTATGTGGATCATCTCATTTCATTCACAGAATAACTACTATGAGGAGTTGCTTTTATGATCCTTCATTCACAGATGAAGAAAGCCAAGTGCAGAGAGGTTAAGTAACTTGTTAATGGTCACACAGCTAGTAAGGGGTCCAACCAGGCTTTGAACTCTGGAGGCTGATTTCAGAGCTTTTGCACATAACCACTATACTGATCCTCTCCCACTATGCTGTCTCCATCATCTCTTGCTGACATTCCTATGGCATCTCCTAGCTGGCATAAGTGCCCTGGTCTTAATCTTTTATAAACCATCGCCTACATAGCTACCAGAGAATTCCTAAAAGACAGCTTCTGATCAAGTCACTCTCTGCTTAAAGCTTTTCGAGGGATCCCCAGTTTCCACAGGATAAAGTCCAAGCTCCTCCAATCATCCCGTAAATCCATGTGTGGTCTAGCCCTTGTGAGACTCTCTCCAGCCTGCTTCCCACTGGACTCTGCATTTTATACTCAGGGACACTGGATTGTTCTATGCTTCTTTATTCTGCTACATTTTGGTGTACTAATATTTAATTCCTTATTCCTCCTGATAGCCTCTTCGTCAACTGAAATCCTACCCATCCAAGTCAACTACAAACCCTTCCCTGCCCCACCCAGGCCCTTCCCATAGGTTTCCTGAGCACCCTGGGCTTACTCCCATTACAGTGTCCATCACCTTAGAATGTAACAATTTGTCTGCAGGCCTACTGTGCCAGTAGACTGCAAGTTCCAGGAGGCAAGATCCTCTTTAGCCCCGACACCTTCCATAAGTCCAGTACTATAGGGCATTCATAAACACTGCCAAAAATACTTTTAGGTGTGGAAAATTACTCCTGTTTGCATGATGGCAAAATACCAGGTGACAAAGCTCTTGGACCCCAAGCTATCATCCTGGCTTCCTTATAAGAAGGAAGCTTCAGCAGTTCTTCCTGGTCCCTGTTCTACCAAAATTCAGAAATGCATGGGTTTCAGTATCCACACACCCTCTCCCCACATCTCCCTCCATCATCTCTCTCTTCTCACTGTTTCAGCTCCTGAGGGTCTTTTCCAGCCATGCTGGAGTAGACTGCTCACTGCTTCCATCACTAGTCCAGACCAGACAGGGTCTAGTCCTGGTCCACTTCTCAGACCACCTACTTTCTCACCTAGGTTTAGCTGAGACAAGGCACACATTTTTCAAGACAACATGGTGAAACTCCGTCTCTACTAAAAAGCACAAAAATTAGCCCGGTGTGGCGGTACGTGCTTCTAAACCCAGCTACTTGGGAGGCCGAGGCAGGAGAATCAGCTGTATCCAGGAGGCAGAGGTTGCAGTGAGCCGAGATTGCGGCATTGCACTCTAGCCTGGGCCACAGGAGTGAAACTCCCTACATAGCTACATATTTCTCAAAGAAAAAAAAATTCAAGAGGCACATTTATTGAGTAACCAGGGGAAGCACAGAAGAAAGAAGTGGTTATTAATGTGGGGTGTTATGGGTCCCAGGCTCCTGCTTCTGTCTGCCTTCCCCACTAAACTGTAAGCCTCTCAAGGGCATCTTGGATGCAGCACAGTGCCCAGGTTGGATATGTTTGTGAAATGAATGAATGAATGAGTGAGTGACTTGTTGGCAGTTTATTTGGCTTCATTCTTTCATCAGGACACTGCTAAAAACACCCAGTAGGGTCACCTGTGTAAGGACTACCTGGAAACCTACTTTGCACAACATTCCTGGTGGAAGGCATGAAAAAGTATTGTTCCTTCAGGACTTCCCAGGGCACAGGATGCCTTAGGGCTGAACTCCAGTCATGGGGAGGAGAAGCTGGAGAAGGAGCAACGTTTCCCTGTGGCTTGAGACTGGAATTCCAATTCTCCACTTGAAAGGGAGAACACCATCTAACTTATCTCTGCTCCAGGGTAGACCTGAGAGAGGCTGCCAGGGAATCTGCCAGGTGTTTTATTTTTCCGCATTGGTGTGTAAATGACAAGTAGCTGTCTTTCCGGCCAGAGGGAGGTTTCTACTTAATTCAGGCTCTGGAGAGATGTCTCCTCGACCCGCACCTCCAGCGGAGAGGTTTATCTAATTGCACATGCAGGCCCACCTCCCTGTTCTGCTTCAGGAGGCTTTGCTGTTTATTGTACGCCCTGCCATGCATGAGCTGTCACCTCTTCTGTGAAGCCTTCCCAGCCACGTGGCTCACAATCCCCATCAGGGCCCCCTCTCTCCCAGACTGCATCATCCATATATAACCCAACCTGGCAGCAGTCTACTCATTTGCTTTTGCTACGTAACCACCATGCCACAACTTGTAGGCTTAAAACAATAAGCATTCACGAGTGGGTGGTTCTGCTGGTCTAGGCTGGGTTCCCTCCGGCAGCTTCAGTCACCATCAGTCAGCTAGGTTCTGCCAGCCTGCTGAACCACACATCTCTTGTCCTCCAGGAGGTTAACCTGGAGCATGGCTGTGCAGGATTTCAAGGTGAGTACAGAAGCTGAGGGGTCTCTTGAGGGCTAAACTCTGAATGAGGACAACATCCCATCTACCCATTCTATTGTTTAAAGCAAGTAGCAGACACCAGCATTGATTTCAGTGTCTGAAGAACAGCTTTCACTCTCCAACAAAGGAACTTTGAACTCATGTTGCATAGAGGCATGCATGTAGGAAGAGAAAGAACTTGCAGCCATTTGACCATCCACAAGTGGTCTGTTATACCAATTCATTATTTAAACCTGGACCTGATAAGGATTAGGTCTGAGGCTAAAATCCAGGAATATGATTCCAAGTAACTGTCACAAGAAAGTGTAGCATTTAGCTTATAGCTTGGGCTTTGGAGTCTTCAGACCTAGGTCTAAATTCTCTCTCTGCTGCTTATTCATTGTATGACCTTGGATAAGTCACTTCCTTCTTTTGATCTTCCATTTTCTCTTCTGCAAAATAGGAATATTAATAATATCAGCTTTGTAGGATTTCTGTAAGGACCAAATGGCATGTGAGCATAAAGCTGTTAGCACAGAGCTTGGCACAAGGTAAATGCTTGAAGTGGCTTTTATTACCATGATTGTTCTTAAAAACAATGGATGTTTTCTTATCTGCCATAAACTAAAACAATGGACTCCCTTCTCCCATATTCTTTTACTGTGAGTTCCTCAAGGGCACAGTCTATATGTACAAACATATTCACTGCAGCTTTGTTTATTACAGAAAAAAATTGAAAGAAGCATAAATATCCAACAGTAGGGGGTTGGTTAAATGAATTTTACTATATCAACCCAAAGGATTGCAATGTAGTCATCAAGAATGATGTAGGGCTCTGTGTGCTGACATTGAAAGCCGAACATGATGTATTGTCAAGTGGAAAGGAAGGTTAGAAAATAGTACATATAGTACAAAGCCATCTGTGTAAAACATATTTACCTGTAGATGTGCACATAGAGGTCTTGGTGGAAATATGTAAAAAAATGTAAAGATGGGAAGCTGTCTATCTCATGTTGTAAGATTACAGGATCCCCCCCTTTATCTTAGCTTTTCTAACTTCTCTTCACTGAAATGTATTAGTTAAGTAAATTTTTTTAAAAGTTGCCATGGGAGAGCCACTTTGGGGCACCACAAAGGCAGACTTGAGAACCACTGCTTTGTGCCAGGCCTTGAAGTTGGCACTAGGAGTTTTTGATCCTGTTAATGCCAGGCTCTGTGCTGGGTGCCTCCTCCCCAAGGATCTGGGTGTGTTTTCAAAGAACTACAACAGGTCACTCCTGACCCTCACTGTGGAATTGCTTTTCCCTGAGGGCACCACCAGCAGCTTCTTCCCTTCTCTGCTCTTGGAAACATTCCAGTAGTTCCCAGGAGGCCAGTGTTGGAGGGAGAGGTAGGGGATCTGTTCTCAGGGGCTGCTCCATCCCCTTTACAAGCAGCTTGGGAGATGGAGAGACCAGGCTTGCAGCTCAGGCCAGGGCAGTGGACGGGGGCTAGAAGACCAAGAACATTTGGGGTGTAGGATCAGAGACTCTACTTCTCTCATTGGTGCGATCAGAAAGAAAGGTACAAGTCAGTGGCGGCACCAAAGGTACAGCGACCCTACTTAGAGGAGCTGAGCTACTTAAAAATCAAGACTGTCCACTAGTCATGATGCAGACACTCATCGTCTCACCCAGGAGACCCCTTAGGTCCTCAGAGAAATAGATATCCTGCCCCGGGCTGCATGTGTTTCCCCAACTCACCTAAATCCCCAGCTGACTTCGCTCCGGGCACTGTGCCCTTTCATGGGCCCTGAAGCAGTTCTGTTAGGTCCTTCCCTTACTGAGGGACCTAGTTTCTCCTGTAGGAGCCTCCTGGGTCAGTGTATCTGCAAGAGTTTGCCAAAAGCAAAATGAGCAACTCCAGCCACTTAAACAAGAGAAGATTCGATGCTTCTTACCAAAAGGGCACTTGCCACGTCAGGAACTAGCACACCCAGGAAGAGTGGGTTACCTTGATGATGTAGCTGTGGCTGGATTCTAGCAACTGGGCAAGTTTGAGAGTGATTGTTGATACCGCACAGTGACTGGGGGATTTTGGGGCATTGGAACCGGAAAATTAAGATAACTGAAGAAAACAGGATTTCGGGAACAACACACTGATTTTTAAAATATTTGGCTGAGGCATTTCCCGGTAACACTTTGAATAGATCAGTGAGGCCATTTCCCCAGTGAACCACAGGGAAACATGATGGATATGGCTTCCGCCCTTGCCATGCCAAAATACAAACGTCTGTGGGCATGTGTGAATGTGATGTTGAGTCACAATATTGTTAATTATGAGGAAGTTTAGAAATTGAGGCAACCTGTCTCCCACCCCCATTTGCCGACAAATCAAGTCAGGCTGGCTGTGAATTACCAGCCATCATTCTTCCCTTTTCCAACTCCCATAATTGGGTTAGAATACCTCTGTTAGACAATCATGCCTCCAGAATTTGAGCTAAGTTAGAGACTTTTACAAATTAGGCTATAAATGGGAATATGTTTCCCCATCTGGTATCCAAATTTAGAAAATCTACCATTTTGCTTGAGGCACTGAGATAAACAGCAAAGCCCAGGGTTCTGTGGTATTTGTGTGTGCTTGAGAAGCAGCACGTATGCATAGTAGCGGTGGAGTCCCTGGGCTTTATAGGAATTGCTGAGATGCCACTTCTGACTCTACTACTTATTACACTGTGGCCTGGGACAAGTGTCTTACTCTCTCTGTGTCTCAGTGTTCCATCAGCAAAATGGGGATAATGAGAGCACAGCTTCATAAGGTTACCATGGAGTCCTTGTAAAGGCTTAGAATGCCTTAACAAGGCACAGTTCCCAGAGCAAAGTCAGCTGGGGATTTAGGTGAGTTGGGGAAACACATGTGGCCTGGGGCAGGATATCTATTTCTCTGAGGACCTGAGGGGTCTCCTGGGTGAGATGATGAGTGTCTGCATCATGACTAGTGGATATTCTTGATTTTTCAGTAGCTCAGCTCCTCCAAATAGGGTCTCTGTACCTCTGATGCTGCCATTGACTTGTACCTTCCTTTCTGGCTGCACCAATAAGGGTAACACAGTCCCTGGTCCTATACCCTGAATGTTCTCAGCCTCCTAGCCCCCATCCATTGCCCTGACCTGAGCTGCAAGCCTGGACACCTGGGTCTAGTTCTTGTCCCTCTATCTCCCAAGCTGCTCAGAAAGGAGATGGAACATCCCCTGAGTTCCATACAGAGGAACTGAGTAAACCTTAACAGCTACAATTCCTTGGATTGAACTGCATACAATTCCAAGTGCACAAAGGCATCCTTGTTCAGGAAATCTTCTGGAGTGGCACACGGTGAGTATGGCATTGGTGAGCTCTCTTTTCTGAGAAAGTGGCCTTTACTGTCACAATTGTCTTGCTTAACCAAGCTGGAGTTACACCCAACTCCCTGCTTGGCTTCATCCCTGCATCCTTCCAGCCTGATGTAGCTGGAGAAAAAAAATCCCAAGAGTTTTCCTCTTCAGAGTATGACCACCGAGGTCAAACAGACCCTTAACACAACCTCATAATTAGGCTCCAGACCCTGGCTCCTGCTGTCTCTCCATCTCCTGAATAACTTTTTCACACCTCCTTCTTCCTTCTCCTTGCTCTTAGCACTAGCCTTCCTTCCTAGTTCCCTGAGAATATGGACAGTCTCAGAGGATAATTTTCATAGGTCTTCTGAGCCTCAATATCTGCATCTTTGCCCATAAGTGCTGCCTTTCTCCCGTTGAGCTGTGCATGCTCCAGTTCTAGGCCACTCTCAACCTGTGCAGATTACATCCCTTTTGGTCTCAGAAGGGTATACATCGATCCTGAAACTATCTCCTCTGTTTCCCTCATATCAATTCTCATTTTCTGGGGAATCATTCCCATAATCGTGCAAACATTGTTAAAACAACACGCAGTCTTTGACACCTCTCCCACCCCAGATCCTGCCCCGTCTCTCCACCCCTCCTTACAATATTTTTTTGGAAGCATTGCCCATACATGTGCTGTCCACTTCCTCTCCTCCCATTGCCTTGAACCTGTTCAACTCTCTTTTATTCCTACAGCTCTGAAATGTCACTAGCAATGTCCTGTTGCCTAATCCAAGGTCAGTCCTTAGTGCTTACCCTCCTCAGCCTCTCAGCAGCAGCTGACACAGCCAATTGCCCCCTCCTGCCGGAAACACTTTCTTCTCTTAGTTTCTTATTCACCTCTTGACTTATTGGGCAATTTCAACCTCCCTCTTGTTTCTCTTGCCTTTCAATGTTGATGTGCAGTTTCACTCAGTCTCAAACTTCTTCTCTTCTCTATCTGAACTTGATTGTCCTATCTGTTCTAATGACTTTAAACTCTGTGTTTAGACAGAGGACACCCAAATGTATAACTTTAACCCAGATATCTCCCCTGAATAGCCACATATCTGGTTACTTACTGAACATCTCCACTTTAGTAACTAATGCACATCTCTAACCTAAATATCCAAAATTGAACTTCTCAAAGCTATCACCACCCTAGCTCCACTTGGAGTCTTTCCTATCTCAGAAAATGGCAATGTTATTCTTCCAGTTGTTCAGGCCTCAAATCTTGGAATTATCTCAAGTCCTGTCTTTCTTCCCCCATATCCCATCTGTCAGCAAATCCAGTTGGCTCTTCTTTCAAAATCGAACCAGAATAAGGTTTCTTCTCACAACCACTCATATCACCATCCTGGCCAAAGATATGATCACCTCTCACCTGGATTACTTCAGTCTCCTTCCAATTGGTTCTCCTGCACTCGAACATCTGTTCTCAGTGTAGCACCTAGGTGAGATTTCGATCCTTTAAAAATACACATCATGTCATGTCACTCCTCAGCTGCAAACCCTTCCTGAGCTTTCCTTTTCACCTTAAGAAAAAGCCAAAGGCCTTGCAGTGGCCTGCGAGGCCAGAGGCCCCCACTGCCTCTTAGACCTCAGCTCCTGTGGCTCTTTCTAGCACTGCCTCTGCTCAGTAACAGGAGTTTCATATTTACCCATGCTGCAACTGTCTTTGAATTTTAGCTCAGATTCACACTGGCTTCCTTCTTCTTTCAGCGCATCAAGCAAGCACTGACCTCAGGCCCTGTGTACAGGTATCTCTCTATGGAAATCTCTCCTCCAGAGATCTGCATGGTTCACCTCATTCAAACCTTTCTCAAGGGTCATCTCCTCAGAGAGAGCTCCAATCCCTTCCCCTGTGTCGCTCCCAAACTTCCTTCCTTTGCTTTCTTTTTCTTCGTATTCCTTTTTCAATAGTAAAGCTCCTCAACTATTGTTCACTGCTATCGGTCCCAAGCTTAGCATACTTAGTAGCTCCCAAAAAACCTTTGCTTAATGAATGGATACCTAAACCTCCTCTCCCCAACTCCTTGTCATGGGAATGTGGAAGGGACAGCATTGGGATGAGATGACAGCATGATGGGTCAGTGGGAAGGACCCGGGAGGTAGATGCAATTTCATAACTTGTAAATTATTTAAAAGCCCTCTCTCACTGAGTAGAATTGGGCCTGGGGCATGAAGACAATAGAGTCTTCTAAGGTTCTGCAATTCTGACATCTCTATCTTAATTTACATAATTCCAAAGGCTACCACTGCTAAGGTACAAGGAAAATCATGAATGCTGTATGTACCATGCATTTGCCACAGATTGCCATGGGTATGTTATGTCTTCCTTAAAAGCCACTGGTGGTCAAGGAGGAGTCTTTGCTGTTTTTTGTATCCTTTGGAATCTCATGGTTGTAACATGAGTTGCATACTTGGTAAAGGCTTATTGATACATTAATTGCACAAAATTTAAGGGGAGCCCTGAAGGTTGGGAGGTGTTCTGCAATGAGGTTTACCATCTGACTCTGTAACTGGAGATTTAACTAATTGATTGCTGTTTGCAGTTATGGTGAGCTTGCCTACCTGTATTTTCTTCCCAGTAGAGTTACTAGACAGTGCAGGCAATAATCCCTAAATTCCAGTGGCTTAAAAAAATACAAGTTCATTTCTCACCCATGAAAAGCCCAGTCAGGCGTCTGGAGGGTGCTCTACCAGGAAGGAATTCTGGGACCCAGGTTTAACCACCTTATGGTTCCACTACCCCTAAGGGTCTGGGAGTCCTCGGTTAGAACCCCTGCTAGCAGATGTGGAAAGACAGGAGGTATCCTGAGTGGGAGAATTGTGTGGCAGACATGCCCACTCTCATTCTCTTGGGCAGAATTCAGTCACACGGTCACCCCTAGCTACAAGGAAGGTTGAGAAACATTATCTAGCCAGCCATCTTCCTGGAAGCAAAAAGAAATGATTTTAATGGATAGCAATTTAGTCCCTGCCATTACAGAAAAACTGAAGGTCAACATTAGCCTACCCCAGACCACATAATGACAAATCCTATTTCTTAGGTAGCCTTGTGTAAGTTAAAATCGCTACAGCTCAGTTTTCTATCACCAAAAATCCTCTTCCTCAGTCCCCTTTTCTCCTGATCCTGTTGACTTTCCATGAAGGTGAAACATTTAAGATTTATTTATCCATGACTTAGCTACTTTTTCTAGCTTCTACTGACTAGTCTATCTCACAATTCATGCTGAGATCCAAGATCTACCACACTAGAAGCTTAGCAAAGGTTTCCATCTTTTTACACTGTTTTTACTAGTCATTGAGAATGTTCCAGGAATAGGCAACAGCACATGCAAAGCCTTCAAGGCAGGAAGACTCTCGGGGGGCTGGGAACCATCTATGGTCTAGAGGCTTGACACGAGTTACCTGCTATCAGGCATCTCCAATCCCCCACTGCCGATTGCATGAGTTTAGACAAGTTATGTAATATCCAGGGCTGTATTCATTTCTGTTTACTAGGGATAATAGAGGCATTGATCTTATAAGTTTATTGGGAAGATTGAATGAAATGACATATCTGGAATACTCAAAACTCTGACGTGTTAGCTGTTATTATTGTTACTATATCACCATAATTATGATAAAATGATCAGCCAACCTTTGCCTGAGTTCTTGTTTCAGAAAGCTTTTCTCTCTAGACACCCTCTGCCTTTCTTCTAATCCAGCACCTACGTGGCACAACCGCAGCCTCCCAGGGCAGATCGTGTGCTTGTTGTAGCTGCTACCGCTCCATTGAAACCCAAGCTCGAGCCCTGCGGCCCTGCTTCTCAGATGGCATTGCCCTGAGCTCATGAACTTTGATCAGCATTAGATCCATCTGTCCACTCTTGCCCTGCTTTTCCATAATTGCATTTGTTTTGTACCACATAGGTCAGCATTACATTCATTGGATTGGTCATTCTGGAAATCGCTACTCTGCCAGGAGTTTCATATTTACCCATCCTGCAACTCTCTTTGAATTTTAGCTCAGATCCACAGCTGGAAGACTCTCTGATGCCTGTCAGAATGAAACCCTTGTGAATGAGGAGACAGCTTAGCCTGGCTTTCTGATGCTCCCGGCTTCCTGTCAGACCCCTTCCCTCAAGCAGAGAGGGAGCCCTCCCTGTTCCTCAGGGATTTGCTCCAGACACCCACAGGTCAATGGGAGGTCCAGAAATCTGCCAGGTGAGGCCTTCTGAAAACAAGTAATCCCTGTATAACCAAGGAAATCTCTGGTCCCTCATGTCATGGCCTCTCATTCCAAGCAACAGGCAGTGACAGGACAAAGCGACGCTGACAGCTTGGTGGAGCTCATTGTAGCGGAGATGTGAGCTGACTGGAGCTGGCTTGCTGCTGATGTGCCCTGCGTGTTTACCTACACACCACAAAGGAAGCAGGTTTAACTCTTCACGGAGCCTCTCTCCAACTTAGCTCTGATTGTTCATTTATTCATTCGTTTGTTTAATCAGTTGCTCAAGAATTTAAAAATACTTATTATGTGGCAGGCACTAAGATTAGTACTGGAAACACTGGTATAAATAAGACTCCTTCTGTCTTTGAGAAACTCATGTTCTAAATACACAACAGATCACAAAACAGGGTACAAAATGCCGCAGTGGAAGCGAGCATTAGCCAGGCTCAGTGGTTCATACCTGTAATCCCAGCACTTCGGGAGGCCGAGATGGGTGGATCACTTGAACCCAGGAGTTTCAGACCAGCCTGGGCAACCCCATCTATACAAAAAATGCAAAAACTAGCTGGGCATGGCAGTGTGCACCGGTAGTCAGTCCAGCTACTTGGGAGGCTGAGGTGAGAGGAGCTCAGGTCCAGCTACTTGAGCTCAGGAGGCAGAAGCTGCAATAAGTGAGATCGCACCACTGCACTCCAGCCATGGCAACAGAGTAAGACCTTGCCTAAAAAAAAAAAAGATGGACATTAAGTATTCTGAGAACACAGAATAAGAAGGGGGCAATTTTGCCTGATAGGGGATAATAGGTCAGGGAAGGCTTCCCTGAAAAAGGGACATAATAATCTTGAAGAAATGGTCATAAAATCATGTGTTGAATAAAGCAGTTTTGGTTTCAAGTAACAGAAACTAACTGGTTGGTTAAAAACAGAAGGAGTTATTGGGAGGATCCTGGTTGTTTCAGAGAATCCAAGAAAGAGATGAGCAAGTACATCTCAAGAGCTGCAAGAAGTCAAAAGCTCTGTAGAGCTTATGTTGAGTTTCCATCTTCACTAACTCCTAGTCTCTGGGTCTTTTTCGGGTCCAAAATTCCAGATTCTTACAAGAACTTGATTGGCTCAGCTTGATTCAGAGGTCTATTCTTGGCTTGTTTATCTGGACCTGAAGACACAATTCAGATAGTTTAGACTCAACCACTGAATCCAGGGCCTGTGGAGAAGAGGGCTTGAAAGAAGAGAGGTCACCATGGGCTTAGTGCTTACCCCAAGAGATGGCTTTTGCAAGGAGACAGGGCATTCTGGTTGGAGAAAGCAGTGAGGGCAGATGCATTGAGACATGAAGGCTAAAAGGTCCATGGTGTGATGGTGGCAATACAGCAAATTTGGGATTACTTCTATTGTGCAATCTCAGTAGCATTGCATGTAAATTGGATATCCATTAATCATGTCATATTTTGTATACATGAAGGGAACCTGATATTTACAGTCATTTTAGTTAAGCTTTCTTGACTAACTTAAGCCAAAAGGGCATTTATTGGAAACTTAAGACAGAGATGAGCAAAAAATTGAAAAGGAGGTGAGAAAAATCATGTTTTTTTTCTTTCTTTCCCTCCCTCCCTCCCTCCCTCCCTCCCTCCCTCCCTCCCTCCCTCCCTCCCTCCCTCCCTCCCTTCCTTCCTTCCTTTTCTTTTTTCTTCTTTCTTTCTTCCTTTTTTTGATGGAGTCTCACTCTGTCACCCAGGCTGGAGTGCAGTGGCATGATCTCGGCTCACTGCAACCTCCACCTCCCAGGTTCAAGTTATTCTCCTGCCTCAGCCTCCCAAGAAGCTGGGATTACATGCATGTGTCACCAAGCCCAGCTAATTTTTGTATTTTTAGTAGAGACAGAGCATCACCATAATGGCCAGACTGGTCTCGAACTCCTGATCTTGTGATCCACTTTGGCCTCCCAAAGTGCTGGGATTACAGAAAAATTATGTTTCTAATTCTCAGGATGTGGACACTTCCTGCAAATTGTGGTGGCAGATGCCTCTCTGCCTTACTCTGGTCACCACTGATGGAATGAATAGAGTTGAGCTGCATCCAGCAGGATGCCTCCAGAGACATGCAAGCCAGATATGAGGTGGGGGCAGGATTCACTGGTTCCCAGAAACCTTGTCCCACAATGAAACAATGAGAGTGCCAGTAAGTGGGAGGATTCCAACTTCAGGTGAACAATTTGCCTCTTCCTAGGTTGGGCACACTTTAGAGGAATAGTTGTTTTGTAGAGGGGTGAATGTTCTGGAAACCAAGTCTAATGGCTGATGTGGATGTGTGGTGTCAAGAATCAGTCATTGCTTCAGGGACTGTGGAAGAGGGTCCAAGGTCTCTGTGGAGCCTGAAGAGTGTGCAGGTGAACGGCAGACAAGGCCAAGACTGCGCATCCCTCTTCCTTTCCTCCCTCTACATTTTACCCACCTAGAGCATTTCCTCACCTACTGATGCCTTGCACCATGGAGATTAAATCCACGAACACTGGAGTCAGACAGGCTGGGTGTGCCTTCAGGCTCTGCCCCTGTCTAATTAAGTGATGTTAGGTGAGTTATCTCACCTCTCCGAACCTCCGTGTTGTCATAAAAAACATGGATATAATTGTAATCGTGCCGTTGGGTGGGTGGTAGTGCAAATGAGATAATGAATATGAATCACCAAGCCTATAGTGGATGCTCAATAAATGGCAGTTGCATTTATGGTTGTATTTTTAAATTGGTATTATTGTCGTCACTCAGAAATGTATATGCTGGCTTTCAGCCTACGGGCCTAAAAACAAACAGCCCATAAAAGGATTTCTCTCACTCTATTCTTCTGGGAATCTTTCCAAGTTTTGCTTCCTAATTCTGCTGGTCCACCTTGCCTGTTCCTCATTTATGACTGATCATCATAGATTTGCATTTCTATGATCCACCAAGACTAGGAAGGAGATGGAACCAGATGGAACCAGGATCGAGCAGGAGGCTCTGTTCTGGCACTGGACTCCCAGAGAGTTTGCCATCCATCCTTTATGCCGTGTTCATAGGGGCATGGAGAACTTAGACTGGACCCCTATCAGCTCCTATATTGCTTAGGAATGCATTTGGCTGCAAGTAACAGAAAACTTGGTTGAAAATTGTTTAAACAAATAAAGGTTCGTTTTTGTCACATCAGAGGCTCCTGGAGGCAGGAGGCTTCTGGAAATGGCTCACCAGCTGGATGTCAGGGGTGACATCTCTCTGAGACTCTCCTGGCCTTTACCTCTGCATTTTGCTTCATGACCAAAGATGGTTGCTACAGCTCTGGACAGGGAACCTGTGTTCAAGGCAGGAAGAGGAAAAGGAGAAGAGAGAGAGAAAGACAGCTCCATCCCTGCCTTTCCCCTTCATCAAGGAAGTAGAAACCATCCCAGAACCACTTAGAAGATTTTCACGCAGATGTCATTGGCCAAAAACAAAACAAAACAAAACAAAATGGTCCAAAAGCCAACCCTACTTGCTGGGAAAGCAAAGCCTGGTATTGTTACATTCAGATTAGGGGCTAATCTGGTTCATTACAAGAACTGGGTACATCATTGCTATGAACAAAATCAGGTTCAGTTGGCAGGGAAGAAAGAAAGAGGGAATGAATATTGAGTGGTCAAGAAACAGTACCTACATATTTCACCCCCAGGAATTTAATCTTTGGGAGTGTGGACCACAGCAAGAGAGCTATGGCCATTGAGGGACTGCACCCAAAGTGGGTATGTGAGGCACATGCCATTGGAACTCCTTCAGGGCATCAGTAGGTGTGGAGGTGCTCCAGGGAGGTAAAATGTAGAGACTCAAGAAAGGGTGTGCACAGTCCTGGCCTTGTCTACAGTTCACCTGCACACTCTCCACAGAGAACCTTGGACCCCCTTCCACAGTCCCTGAAGCAATGGCTGATTCCTGATGCTCCACATCAGCACCAGTCATTAACTTTGGTTCTCAGGACAGCCACCTCTCTATAAAACAATTGCTCCTTCCAAAGTGTGCCCAAGCCAGGACTAGGCAAGTCAGTCACCTGAGGAAGGCAGGATTCTCCCAGCCCACTGGCATTCTTGCTGTTCCACTGTAGGTCAAGTTTCCTGGGAACCAGAGAATCCTGCCTCCACCCCATGTCTGGCTTGCACATCTTCAAAGACCTCCTAATTAGATGGCTCCGAGTATCTGATCCATGTTGTAGATACTGTTTGGGCCTTTTCTAGGTTCCTTTACCTGTTGACACATTTCCCTCTGTGCTGCTGCTGCTGCAACTGCTGTAGATGATGGCTTATGACTAGGACCTTCTCTGAAAATTTGCCCTGCGAACATAGGAAACCCCTGGCCTGGAGAAGCCTAGGAGGTTACACTCAATGACCAGCTGACATGAGAGGATAAACACTTGACCTCTTTGTCTCACTGAATGATCACTCTGGGGTGTATGTAGCTTACATTCCAAAGCATCCCCTCGAGGTGGGCAAAGCTAGACTGCCTGAGTCCACAGTCTTGTTTGGCTCTTTTTCCTTCTGTTTCCTGCTTCCTTCTGTCCCTTACAGGTTTTCTTGAGGAGCTCTTCCTCAACTAATCTTAAATATTTCAGGCTCTCTTTCTAAGGAATGAGACCTAAGACATACCCTATGTCAAGATTGTGCTTTCCAAGTGTCATCAAGCCTTGGGTACCATTCTGGGACTAACACCCCAGATCCAGTTGACCCTTGCAGCAGGAATCCCCCAGCTTCACTCCCTCATCATCTATCATGTTTTTACTCACATATGGAAGACGCTCCTTCATGCCCAGCTTCTATATTCTCCCGCCTTCTCATCCCCACACTGCTCTCTCCCCTGTCAGCTCTGATCCAACCTAGCACTCCCCTCCCTCCAAGTCCTCCTCACCTTTGGCAAACAGACTTCCCTACAAGCTCAGGGTCTTCCTAGAATGCTCCTTTCACCTCTTTCCTTAACTGAGAATGAGCTCTCCCCAGAGGACACCGCTTCCTCCCTGGTCTTCTCAAGCTGATGCTTCTCATTCCGTCAAGGTACAAAATCTCAGGTCAGCATTCTCCTCGCTCCTCATGACCACTTACAAGCCATTACGCCTCCGCCTTCATATTAAAACACATCTTCTTTGTTTCTCACACCATCTGGCCATATCGTTAAAATCAACCAATGGCATTTCCCTTCACACAGCAATTCCCCTTCATATAAAAATATTAGTGCAAACTGAAAGGATATATGTGAGAATGTTTATGATAACATTGCTTGTGACAGTAATAAAAAGAAATTGGAAATAATTAAATATCCATCAACAAGAAGTTGACAAAAAAATTGTAGTGCAGCTGTACATTGGAAGTGAAGTGGTAAGTTTTTTGTACTGACACAGGAGATGTGTGTGATACGTAAAAGTGAATTGAGCACCAAATCCGATTGTAGACAAATGTGGTATCATCTCATTGTGTTAAAGGAAAAGAGAAAAAATGCATATGTTTATAAGATTAGGAGGATTATCCCAGGCCTAGGCTGACTGTCCCTTGGTTAGCAAGATCCCAGCAGCTGCTGCTATGGTTTTGGCCAAGGAACTGCTCAGAAGCACAACACAATCTTCAGAGTGCATAAAATTAGAACAGGGATATCTATGTAGCTCTTGATACAGTGTACTGATGCTTGATTTGTCCTCCTGGCAGGAGTCTAATAAGTGGTGCTAAGATTCAAAGACTCTGAAAACCCCATTCACAGAACTCTTTTAAATATACATCTCAAAGTTGCTCATATGACAGAGTCCCCATCTCATCCTTCCAGATAGGAGAGATCCAAGCAGGAACTCTGCCTGCAGTGCCAACAAGTTGTCATAAAATTCCAGCTTTATTGCCTTCTCTTCCCACATCAACCCCCCTTCCTCCTGCAAATAGCAATCAAGTCAATCTAGCCTTGTCTCTTTCCTTCCTGTGTCTTGTCAGCAAGGAAACGGACAAGTGTGGAAATGTGTGGGGCAGAGACACCCACAGGGCTAAATGTGAGGATTGGGGAC